CAAAAAAAAAAAAAAAAAAGAAAAAAAAAAAAAAAAAAGATTGGTTAAGTATTTTATTTCTTGTTTTTCATATTTATTCTTTATTTATGATTATAAATATATATATATTTATATATTTATTTCATATATATTTATTTCAGAGTGGGTCTACTTTATGATATATTTCTTTTAGAGCCACATTGAGATATCTAATGTGTCTACTTTACGGTATGTCCCAAATAGGACTATACAGCCACACAAGAAAGTGCCTAAATAATTAGAATTTTTGTGCCTAAAAGTCTTGTGAAGCTTACAGATGCCTACTACTAGTAGTAGTCTGTTGTATTCTCTCAACAAAAGTGGACTTAAATTAAATTGTATTATGGAATTTTAGAACAAGCCATTCAAACGTTTCGTGTCGTAAATTTCAGAAAAAAAAAATATAAAAGTGATAATTTATAAAATGTCCTCTTTCTCTCCTGATTTATTCATCTTACATAACTTTGATACGGTAATATACGTGACAGATATACAGTATGTTTTATTATTGATATCACTGTAAAGCTTATAAGAAACAGAAAACTGAAGAACATCCAAAATTTGTATTAGATGATAGGATCAATACAGACTTACGGTTTTTGAGCATACGATCGGTAGGTATTATTAGGCCTATCAATACCTTCTCTGAGAGTATCGTTAATAGTGTAAGATAACATGTAATACAGAGAACATTTCTCGTTTTCTGTAAGGTGATCTTCTGGAAATTTCTCTGATCGTAGTGTTACTCCCTTAAAGAATTCATTAACAATTTCCGTTTTGCGTTGATAAAACTCGTCTTGTCTTAGATTCGCACCTTTCTGTACTAGTCCATCTATTGCGAACCTGTTAAACACAAATGCATGAGACATTTAATTTAAGAAACTGAAAATGGTATAAATACTTATTAATTGTAAGTTGTATTCGTATGCACATGAAATTTGATCAGGGATTCTAAATAAAATGCCAAAATTTAAATATTAGAAGAGCCAATGAGCTCTTGGTTGTATGAAATGCTTAGAACGCTATAAAGTCAATACATAGTAGACCAGAAATGATAGGTAGATTGTTAATGACCATAAAACCTTTTATTATAATTTTCTCCAATGATAACGACAGACTTGATGGAACATTAAAATATTTTATATTAAAAATTTTGCAAAAACACATTTTCAAAAACACATAAACACATTGTTTATGCTTTGATGTTTCAATCCATAAACATTTTATCAATACGAGTATCATACACTACAAATAAAAAATCTCGATAACCCAGAAGCCGCAAGTTTAAATGAAAATACATAAATACACATAACAGAACAACCAAAAACTTTTAATATAGTATGCCTTTGCAGCATACTACACTACATTAACTTTTGTGCTGAAAAAAGACACATGTGACCTATATACAGGTATTTTTATTGTGTTTATTTTTTGCCAAATATTGGGATATACTTTGGCTTCAATTAAACTATGTATTTCATTGTACTTTACCTAGGAATTGATAACAGTACCGTTGTCAAACGGTAGTTTTACGTACAGCTACTCGTTTAAAAGCTCTATTGCTGTTAACGATGTTTGTACTGTGTGGCTAGATGAAGGCCGTTCTCTCGTAGTTAGTAGTGTGAAGATGATATTGTTGTTAATGGTGTGGTATAGTGTATTCTTCCTTGGTTAAAAGCTGTATTGCTATTAAACGATGTCTGTACTGCATGGCTAGATGAAGGCCGTTCTCTCGTACTTAGTAGTGTGAAGATGATATTGTTGTTAATGGTGTGGTATAGTGTATTCTTGCTTGGTTAAAAGCTGTATTGCTATTAAACGATGTCTGTACTGCATGACTAGGTGAAGGGCATTCTATGGTATTAGCAGCGTGAAGATGGTCCTGTTGTTAACGTTGTGCTACACTATACTCCTAGTTGTATAAAAGTCGTTTTCTTTTAACCCTATCTGCTCGGACATCATTTACTGAGCATGTCACGAGGTTTCAATGGCTTACATTCAAAATTTTATTAAACTATATTTTGTTTAAGTTATAGCAATTAGTATACCACAAAATCATAGCTAATGATCCATATTTTAAAAGTATATACGTTTTATTTTTATAATGTAATATTCAAAAAATTCTGAATTTCCCCTAGTGTGAGAAATGTTACATATTTTCTCTAGGCATCCCATCTTCTCTATTTTATTCACCGCCCCTCAAATAAGTAAAAAATTTAACGTACATTATTTTCTATAAAATCGTCATTGCTCAGACAAACCATAATTTTTATAGCCTTCAACTATGTTTGGTTACAGAGCCATCAAATAGAAAATCAGACTCCTCTTGCCACACCCACTTGCCACATTCTCTATTTCAGGATATGTTAATAGTTCTCTCTTACATTTAATTCTATATTATCTATAACCAATAGAAAGCTAAGGTTTTCATCCATCAAATGACGTATTACATTACGCAGTTTTCTGAACGGAAAATTGTCAGTTTTTCTTTTACTACAAGCTATGTTCCCACAAGAAAGATAACGACTAGATTGGATGAATTTGTAACGGTTCATGCCGCATAGTTAGAAAGCCAGAAAAATTGTGATAATTAGAGGAAATTGTTTGCTTTTTTACATGTTATTATTCTATGTTCTTTGGTGTATTATTTAATTAAATGAAAATTATTTAGTGCACTACTACCATTAGTATATAAAAGTAGGGTTAAATGTCATCGACAGTTGACAGCAAATAAAAACAAAGAAGACATGGGTAAGTACATTATTTCTTGTTTTTCTTGTTTATTCTTTATTTATTTTTATAAAAGTAACTAAATTTAAAAATTGGCATATATTTAGGTTAGTTAAGGTTAGATTAGGTGAAATAAATGATAATAATAATATAATAGAAATATTTCACGAGGCCCGTATGCGAGCAGCTCGTGGGTAACGTAATTCGATAGCCTAAGGTGAGCTCCAGGTTCCTCAAGTGATTTACAACTTATAATGGCGCGAATAGTAGTTAGACAGCTTCAAAGGACAATGGAAGGGCAACAAAACAATAAAATATAATTATAAATAGATGTATATTGTTACGAGTTTAAAGCTACTTAGAATAAACGAATGTAGTTTCATGTTACAATATGAAGTCATTCTGGAAAGTAAAAAAGGGGAATTTCGATTCATTTCGATTTTTTTATGGTTATGAGGTCTATCAAATTGACCAACCTTGTATAAAGTTAGGGTAAAGAAAATAACAGATAAAATATAAAGTTTTACTGAAAAGAAACATCTGAAATGTATTTAGGAGGTTTTAAAGATTACACAATGAAATTTAGATTTTTGAGATGAAAAATATATTTTTAATCTTAACATGACAATCACTTTGCACACCGAATAGCCAAAACAAATACTCGATATATTCACGGACAAATCTTTTTTTTAGTTTATTAAAAATACTTCATTAAAAAATATGACTTTTTGTAAGTGAAAGACTTGTAATGTTTACTGAAAGCCTGTGAAATTTTGTGATGATATGCATACTATATAAAAAGTTAGTAGTAGCAAAATTATAAATACTAAACGAGTACAAAGAGGTCACATATTCGGTCGTATTGACCGAGCCCGTGTTCAGAGAGCTGTACGGAATTTTTGGAAGTGGTGCCAATGTTTAAAATGCTTGTATCCACTCTTGATTATGTGAAAGCGGTATTGCTGTTGGACGACATTAATTTTGTGATAAAATATATAATGAACTTATATGTATAACACAGCCTCATGTGAACAATGTTACATTGCTTAATAAACACATAGATACTTTTATTGTCTTATTTATTTTTTTTATTATCTGTATATTCCTGTGCTCATTGAACACTCGTTTTTGAGAATATTTGAGGAAAATGACTGTCGATTTATATAAGGTAATTGGGAAAACGCCACTAGAGGTGACTTACGGTTAAACAAAGGTTGGAATGAGGAAGCAAAGCAGATTTACTAGGTAATTATATTAGCATTTAACAAAAAAAAAAACGTGTAGAAAATATGAACACATGGCCATGCATCAATTATTAAGGTAAAAAAGTGTAATTGTGTCGTGTTAATATAGCATTAACAAACAAATAGACACACTAAGCAAAATACTTAATGTGTCGTCTTTGTGCACATAATTATCAACAATTTTATCATTTGTGGCACCCATATCAGCAAAGTCGCTACATTTTGTTCAATGAGATCTTAAGATATTCAACAGTGGTTGCAAACCGAGAAGATGAAGTTTTAAGAACACTCAACAATGGAATCTAAAAATAATGTTCTTTGCGTAAAGTATTTTCTATAAAACATTCTTAACAACTTTACCTTTTCAATAACATTTTGGCGGTATCTTCAGCTGACCAGTCTGTGTTGTTAAGCTCCAGTCTTTCCACAATTGAAATGAAATTGTCCATGCTGTTGGCCAACGGGATCTCTTGTCCACTAGGCTGTAACCTGTTATCTCGAGTCATGTTATAACAGTTATGCTGAACAAACTCCTTAAAATCATTCACTGATAGCATGATTTCGCATGAAGTGGACGCAAAAATCGCTAAAAGTATATATGAATGTAGTTTTAGAATAATATTTGCTAAATTCGTCGAGCTTCCAGAATTTTAGCATATAGAATACGTTTTAAAAATTAGTTATTTTTACAAATTAAGGATGGTATTTCTATACACAATATCACAAACCTTTAAATGATTTTAAGACAGTAGTTAATCTATTTCTCTTTGAGTTTTCATTTAAGGTCGGACTACATTAAGAAATATTATGTGATGCTAGACATTCATAAGAAAAGTATAGTTGTAAATCAATAAATAAGAGTTTATATTATCATGGATTTTATAGCTGGGTTTTAAGTATATTGTCTAAACAAGTCAAATAAATCTTGAATTATAATAAACCTTTGAACATAAAATCTATTTCGATCAGCCATAAAGAGAGAGAGAGAACGAATTCGTGCAATTAAAATTAAACAAGCTGATGTACCCCTCCTTTGTCCGGGTTATGAACTTTAAAAAAAATGTGGGGTTGGATGCTATGATGAATAACACAAAAATCCTAACTTTCACACAATGTATTTATAACACATGTTATTACAGTATATATATATATTATTACCTCAACATAAGTTTTGTATAAGCTTTAATAACTCAATATGTATATAGTTAAAACTGTGTGACGGTAAGGGTGAGTTTGTAGGAAGAAGTAACAATCAAAGTAGTGGTGGTAGGGGAGCTTTCTGTTACACTATTTCAACACCCAGCTCTTAATGTCCTTCCACGGTGTTTCATGTGAGTAATTAATTGAGGACGCATGTAAAAAACTCATGCAGTTAGAAAATCCAGACCATTCACCATTCCAGTATAGTTCAATAGTTCCTCCAACCCAGTGTTTACGGACTCCCCATATAGCAACAGGGTATAAATATAGTAGTTATATATATATATTTTTTTTACAAACATATACATAACATGTGTTATGTTAATCACCATGCTTCATAGTGATCATACATGTTGTACCACTATCAATGATAACATTGTGGCAATGATATCAGGAGCAATAGCCATTCAATCTACATGAAGCCAATCCAAAGGTTGTCATTGTTTCCCGAGAGAGCATCATACATCAACTACGTATTTCGTGAAACTGAACTGTTTCAAATAGGACAGTATCGCTATTATACAGATTTATGTCCATGATGGACATAAAAAACTAAAGAAACAAACTTATTAAAAATTGTTAATTTACAATTGAGCTAAAGGTTTGAGACATAGTGTTTAAATTACTTCTTCAAGCTATAAATCCCTAATTTGACTGCATGTCTGAAAGCTGTAATACTTAGGACTCAAAATAGGGATTTGTAAATTGAGAAAATAATGTCAACACTTTTTCTTGCGATTTCATTTTCACTTTAAACTACCCATCTTGTTTCTGTATTTTTTTGAAGATCTCTATTCTACCTTTTGAAATTAACAATTTTAGGACAGATAAAACAAGTATTCTGGCATATTTGCGTGAAATTCAAAACAAACAAACCAATTTTTCGCACTATTTTTGCTCTATAACTCAGTCAAAAATTATCCGATTTTGATCAAACTTGGTGGACTTATTTAGAATACTATTTCCCATTGTCATGCCTAAAATGGTCCGTATCCGTTAATAACGACGGACACATTGTCGTATTTTTTTTTGAGAGCCGATTATGATCAACGCTATGTGGCGGAGGTATACACTCTACTGTGTGCCCCTTTAGTTTCGTTCAGTTTTTGCCAGTTCCTTACGTCTTACACTGATTGTTTGACAGGGGAAGACATAAGATGACTAAATATGATGCCGATTGTGAATGATTTCTAAACAAGTTGGCTATGTGAAAGCTAAAGTTATAAAACAATAAAATGGACAAAGGTTTAATACACTTAAAAAAGTGAACTTGTTTGTCGCGCGAGGAGTCTAAAACACTGACTTGGCTGGCCACGGGTGGAAACAAAACATATTTTACGAGTTGTGTTATACACGCGCAAACAGTTACAAAATGTGTTGAAGGTTTTGTTTGGGTTACACACGAAAGATCTTTGCTTAAAAACAACAATAAATACTGAGACATAACGTAAAACTAAGGAAACATCTTACCTGAAGCGAAAAATAAGAAGAATAACTTCATGTTCCCGGTGTAATCGTCTAATGAGAAAATAAAAATCTAATTGTTAATTAAAACAAGTTCATGTAAAAGAGAATTGCTATCATATATGTATATTAGAACGTCTAGCATTTTGGAATTTAACGAAGTGGATTATGTTCACTTATAACATTAAGATTTTATTTTTTCAAAGTTTTAGGATAGTAAATATTCAAGTCGTGTTGAGTTAATATGAAAACATAGGCGCATCAATGGAGGCATATTTACGTTTTCTTTAGAGTCTTTTATATATATATATATATACACTATCTTATAAATGTTTTTGTTGAGCATTATTAAAGCTACTGATCAGAACTTACCGCCTGGAATAAGCAGGTTACCAACCAGAACCCCTGATAATGACCTCTAGAATGCGTGACTTGCTTAATCTGGGCAAGTGACGTTAACAAATTGTCATTGTGGATGTAGATTCAAACAGATTGAGTGACTGATTATAATAAACATACAGTTACATCATAGCTAATCGTATAAACACACTTATTAGTTGGGAGACAACAACTTTTTTGTTGTTGTTGTTTATTCAGGAAATAAATCGCAAAAATATCAACACTTATCGTTCTCTTAAAGTTCAAGAAAGTAAAAAATTTAAACAAAATGTTTATGAATATAATAATGGGATTAACTAATCAAACCCGTCTGGAAGTGGTGGTTTCGTTTTGGGCCAAATGAAACTCGTTTCATGTGTAACTTTAGTGTCCAGGGACGAAAAAAAAAGAACCGAAATATGTAATGGTTCCTTTATTATCGCTGTAAATAAACGTTTCTAGTACTTTTCGTCTGATAAGTATGAAAATGCTATTTTCGCGTGTTATGCACAGTGTTACAGAAGCAATTATATAATAAGAGGCCATCATCAAGGAAAAGAATAAATGTTAATAAGCGAGAGGAACCCTGGCAGGAGTGGGAGGGGGGTTGAACTAATGTTACGAATACATTATAAAATTTACCAGTTTGAGGCAGTAAATAATAAGAATTTTTTATATGTTTTGTTAGTTTCACTGAGTCGATTTAAAACAATAAGTGGAAATTACAAAATGCCTTATAATATAGTATAATATAATAACAATTTCATTTTCATTTGAAATTGGTTAACAATACACACACACACTACTTAATTTTCTAGACCAATATATCATAAATTGTACACTCTACACTATAATTGTATAATTCTTTGGTTTTTATTTAAAAAAGATTGGCCATTCTGCTACGAATGTTATCTTCTTCTTTTGGTAAGTTCGAAGTATAATTAAATTGTGTAGTTTTTTTACATTAATTACACAATACTGACAATACTTTTAACTTACAGTTAAACTTACAGTTTAGAACGCCTCTTCTCTTGATATTCAGATGATAATATAAGTATTGTAACTTTAAAAATTGTTACTAAACACGCTAAGATTCCGAAGACAGTTTCTTTGTTCCCAATTTCTGAAGTAGAAAAACGAAACGCAAATAACGGCTATATTGTTCTGGTACAATTTCTCAGTTCTACATTTGAAAATATGTTTATCTTTAAACACGAACTTTGAACAAACTATATCCGTACCTTGAAATTAAGTATAACATAACTGATAACTTGTGTTCCCATAGAAACAAAGATAAGTCGCTGGTTTATCAAGAACAAAGTAGAGGACAAAAAGCAAGTGTATTGTTGCCATCGGATGGAAGTCAGCAGATACGAATAAAATGGGAAAAAGAAGCTTAAGTTAGTTTGTTTTAGCGCTAAGCTATACATGATGGCTATCAGCGCTGTTCACCTTATGGACCAAACCCCCAGGAAGTTTAACTGCGCTCTTTTTTTTTCTAAACATAGAAAATCTTATACAAACGATACTCGAAACTATAATGGTTCTTTGTAAAAAACAAACAAAAAAACTTGCAAACTTCTAGAAGCGACTTTGAATGAAAAACGACCCGAAGCTGTAGAATAACATTGAGAAAATATCGCTGATAGTATACCAATGAATGTTAAATATATTCGTAATGATGGGAAGTGCTAAGTATAAAATACGTAAAAATAGTTTTATACAGCGCACTCATATTTTTGAATAAACTAAAAAGCTTTTGGAGTGATAGACATTTGTTGTTTTTTTTTGTTCCTTTTAAACACTGATGAAGACTAACGACTAAATAATCCTATTTGGAAGTACTGGTTGACACAAAACAAACAAGGAAACTATTAACTAAAGGGATTTTTATGAATCGGTTTCTTTGAAACATCTAGATTTATTTTTAACTTCCAAACAATTAGGTTCAGAGTATCTTGTCTTCCATCGAACCAATTTTTAATAATCAACTCGAACTTTAAGGAGTTCGACAAGTTTAACCAAACGTACCAAAAACAAATCATATGTTTTCAACTAATACTTTATATTTCACACATTTTTTTTTTCAATACGAAGTTTAAGCAAAAAAAGTTTGTAGGCAATTTTGTTTTATATAAAAGAATTTGCCTATCTATAGCTTTTAAGAATCTTAGTAAAACGTACCAAGTTTTAACACAAGATCTAAGCTGTTAATAGTATAGTATAATTCTTAAAGTTTAGTTTCATGCTTCAGGTACGTTCAGTAACATTTCTAATGTAAGCATTTGTTATGGAGTGAAAAAAAATCAAATGGTTAATAAGAACCAAAGTTCTTGATAAACTACCAGTTGAAAAAAAAAATCATCGGATTTTCTTCGATTTTGGAAAATCACGAAACTATCATTCATAAACTATGGCTCACGAAACTAAACAGGTCAGTTGGTCTTTCAACATTCAATAACAACTTACTGAATAGTGAGGCGAATAAAGGGCTGAAAGTTTGAAACCTGGAGAAGAACAGTGACGTCACGTCATTTAGTTAGGTTTTAGTATTGGTATTTTGAATCTGAACAATGCCTTATGCGCACATAGACTAAACAGAAAGAAACACCTATGAGTCGTATATGGCCGTCCCTAATTGTGAGCCGATGACCAGAGGAAAATCATTCAATCAGCAGAACTCATAAACTCAAGGGTTTCGCCCGGTTTGAATCTTACTACGGAATTGACTGATTCTCTTATAACCTATCCACAACTAAAATTGCGGAGTGTGTTCATTAGCATCATGTGGAAAACTTTGGAAATTCTGAACTGCTGCTGGACATGCTAACCATTAAGACAAATTTAATTAAAATAGACATCTAAAAATTATCATTAACATAAGATTGAATTTTTGTATTGAAATTAAAACTTCTCTCTTATTCATTCAATTTATCACTTAGTTGTTAATTTCAATATATTTTCAGTGTTTCTGCTTTTGTACCTTTGAATTTCAAGTCACTTAATAATTTACGATTTTATTTCAGATTTGTGCAACCATTTCCCTGAGAGAATTTCCATTTGAGAGAAGAAAATCACATGGTGAAAAGAAAGTCAAATCCACTAAATGTATAGCTGTACTTAAATAAAATGTTTTATCAGAATTAGAAGAAAATTAACAGTAGCGATTCAAAACAAAAATAATTACTTTAATACTGGAATGTCACCCTTAAAGACTGTAATTAGCCACCTGGCCCGCCATGGACAAGTGGTTAGGGAGCTCGACTCGCAATCTGAGGGTCGCGGGTTCGAATCCCCGTTCCACCAAACATGCTCGCCCTTTCAGCCATAGGGGCGTTATAATTTGACGGTCAATCTCACTATTAGTTGATAAAAGAGTTGCCCCAAGAGTTGATGGTTGGTGCTTATGACTAGCTGCCTTCCCTCTAGTCTTACACTGCTAAATTAAGGACGGCTAGTGCAAATAGCCCTCATGTAGCTTTGCGCGAAATTCAAAAACAAAACAAAAACAAATTAGCCACTTCGGATAATCTGAGCTCAGGGTAATGTTTGAGGTCAAGCAAGTCTATCGTGATTGAAGAGTTAACCTCAAATTTTAAACCGAGAACTATGCTTTTTCTTGCAATTGATCCGTGAAAAATACTACGATAATTTGTAGTTTGAACCAAAAATACTTACTTTCTTATATAACGATAGAATGTTATTAAGAGTGTTATATTTCATTCTGAATGTAAAAATAACCTCTGGAAAGTATTTGATAAATAGCCACAGGATGTTGAAATAGTGTTGAAAGTAACTATACAATAGGGGTGGTATTACGTTTACTCAATTACATACACAATCTATCTTCTTTCCAAGTTATTTTTTTTCGTCCATGAAAAATGAACTAGGCGTGTCATTGTGGTAGACTTGCTGGGCTGCGGATCGGTAGATCCAAAGCTAGAGCCGTGGTATTTCGTTGAACATGCTCTTCACCAGTCATTAGTTCTAAATTAGGGATGGTTATCTTAGAAGACCATTAAGCCCATATGGAACTTACGTTACTGTTTAGGTTGAAAACATAAACATCAATGCCGTTCATAAGAGTAATATGTTACTTTTTATCTGCTACTTATTGTTTGTTTTTCAAAATTACAAACAATATTTCATGCCAAAACTTTATGTGTGAATTAGGAACTTGTTGTTAGTAAAAATATTTTTTAGCTAAAAATGGCATATTTGTTTTTCTTTCATTCAGTAATCGGTACTTCATTTACAAAAACAGAATAATAAACTAACAAGTGAGGTGCTAAATAATATATATATATATATATATATAGAGGGCATCATGGTCTTAACAAAATCATTCTATCAAAACTAATCAATCATTTGAGATTGTTTGTTTTCTTTGTATAGCATTTTGATTTTAAAGTGTTCCACTAATTTCAAACTAATAGACTAGAAAGAAGGCGACTATTCAACAGTACTTACCGCCTACTATTGGGCTTCTCTTGTATGCCCGAAAGCCCCCCCCCATTGGCACAGCGGTATATATACGGAGTTACAACGCTAGAAACCGGGTTTAGATACCCGTTGTGGGCAGAGCACAGATAGCCCATTGTGTTGCTTTGTGTTTAACTTCAAACAAACAAACAAAGTATGCCTTAATAGTGGGATTTGATTGTCGTCCTTATAACACACACATACTGCTCCAAAGTGTGGAGAGCGATTTTATATATTTACTTTATTTTTTCGTCAACAGAATGCGATCGAATGGCACGTAATTCCATAGTCGGAACGCTAACCACTTATTTAATAGAACAAATTTGTTCTAAAACAATAAACTTTCCAATTATAATTGCAGGAAATTAAAGTCAGTAAATATACCCAGGGCATCAGTAGTATAAAAATCATACAATATTACAAGGTTGTTTTTAGCATACCATGACAATAAAGGCCAGTTAAAACTTTATGTCTCAAATTAGCTCTTTCCCTTTTATGAGTTTGTAAGTTATCTCATGTTCCTAGACATTTATAGTCATGTGTCTTTATAAAACGTAATTATTAGTTACACCTTAGTGTAAAACTCAATACCTTATTCGTCAGAGTGTGATTACAGCATGTTCTACAATTTCAGGACATATACTTATATTATTGTTATTTAATTTTCAAGTTAAAGATTTCTGGTTGTATACATCAACTTAAAATAATCTGAAAGACCACGCTGCGTTATCTAATGTAAAAATCGCTGCTTGCAAAAAAAAAAAGAAAATACAAATAACATTTGACTATGGTTACTGGATAAAAAAAGGCGAACGTTTTCATTATATTTTCCCATATTATTCTAAAATTTTGTTTAAAATTTTCTTCCCTGAGATGTTGGTTTTAGCTTAAAACTTGTATTAATTAATTTATTATAAATCAGACTTATGAAAGTATTTTTTTTTGGGGGGGGGGGTCGCCTTGTTGTTGCAAATATAATTTCTAGAAGAAATATATTTTTAGGCTGTTATTCTTTTTTTATAATTTGCATTTAAGTAATCTCCGAATACAGATTGCTCTAATAAAAGATAATGGACTACTTAACTTCATTCAGTCATTTTTTATAAGATTAAGATATTAAATTAGACTTAAGAAATTCGTTTTAACATTTTGTTCTATTAATAAAAAGAAACAGGCAACTTCATCGTGTGTATTTTTTCCTTAAATCATTTATCTAAATACTTCTGGAATTTATTTCAAATAATAATAATTCAAAAGTACATATGATATATAAGTTGTCATAAGAGAAAATTAAACACGATTTTACATATATAATTTGGTTGAAATTTATGGTTGAAATTTAATTTAAAAGTTGAATAATATATATATTTTCAACCTATACAAAATACTTTTTTGAAAAATGGCCATTCTTAAACGGGAAAAGAAAATTATGCACATATATTCCAGAGAATCTTTTCTTTCTTCTATTTTTTGATAATAATCTAAAGCATTTAGGGAAATACCATACAATGTTAGTAGGATTTGATGACTAAATTCCTTTTAAGTTATTCAACATATGAAATATTATCCTTGAACTGAGATTAAATAAATCTAAAGATGTTTAACTTTACTCGGAGGACAGTAAACTCTATTATTTACGTTCTTTTGGAAAATAAATTTAACAAACAAGACATATTTGAATTCAAGTGTCATTTATCAACAAGAAAAGCTAGGGCAATTTATTTTTATGACTAAGAGCAATGAAAATGGCGCTTAAAACAGTTACATCAACATCAAACAAAGGATTTACAAGAACCGATCAGCGACTAATATGAAGAACTTAATGCAAAAAATGACAAATCTGATTATGTACATACTGCAATTTAAATATTTTGGATAGTCAAAATTAAGATTTACTAAATATGACTAACAGACTATTTTGTTCACGAACCTAAAAATGGTTGTGATTAATGTTTCTTAGAAGTTTGGACAACATGTTGTTTTTCGCATTATTTTTTGGGATTTGGAGTCTGCAGTAATGTTACAAGTATACGCTATCTGTATTGCATAAAACGAAATAATTTTGTAGGTTAACTTAAAAGGTTATAAATTTCAATTTCAAAAAGGTTCAAATTAATTATCATAAGGTGGTGGAAGTGGTCACAAAGCTTTAGGACAAGTCCTGCGAGTTTTAGAATACCAGAGTCAAACATGGAAACTATGGTGAAAATTGAAAATACACAGTTTTAATTAGTTCCTTTTTGTTGCTAAGGCAACATTAAGAATAAGAGTAAGAAGCAAAAATTATTGTAATGAAGTAACTTACTATTCTCGGTTTTCTGCTACAGCTAAAACACTAAAACGTTGTTGGATGAAGATTCTATTGAACCACCCAAATGAAAATGGCGACAAATACTTAGGGAAGGCGGTTCGATAGCAGGATTTCGAATCAGAACCAATCAGAAACCATCACTTATCAGACGCTTACATTTCACTAAAGAACTTTAATTAGCGAGAAAAAAAATCCGTTACGTTCAAGTATATACAGTACACTTTATTGAAATGACAGAGAAAATATCTCGTAATAGGTACTGTTTTAAATAAATAATTAAGATTACAATAGTTTTCGATGTATATATGCTTATATTTATCTATGTG